CCCCCCCCCCCCCCCGCCCCCATTTTTTTTTATTAGTACATTCAAAAGATGAACTGGACAATAGTTGATGCAAAAGGATCCGGTGTTTCCCGGGGCGAAGCCAGGAGAGTACAGCTGTGTGGCAAATTTCACATAATTTTAATTGTCGGGAAAATTTTAAAGAATTTGTTTTGAAAATCTTGTGTAAAATCTGGAAAAATCTATTACAAAATCTTGGATTTCAAATTTAGTGTGGAGGCAACAGATCCCACTGTAAATCCACCCATGGGTGTTTCCTGTACTGCCTCCAATTCGTTGGTTAGATAAAATCATTTACAATGTCTTGGAGTGGTTATTTACCCTGCAATATTTGTAAGATGTTTGATCCTCGTACAATTAGAACATGACAACTAAACTATTTTTTTTCTTGCAATTTTGCAGTTGAGCATGGTGATTAACGAATCACTCCGTCTATATCCGCCAGCAACTGTTCTACCTCGAATGGCATTCGATGACATCAAACTGGGGGATCTCCATATCCCGAAAGGACTATCAATTTGGATTCCAGTTCTTGCGATACATCACAGTGAAGAAATATGGGGCAAAGATGTAAATGAATTCAACCCTGATCGTTTTGCATCAAAATCATTTGCCCCTGGACGCCATTTCATCCCATTTGCTGCTGGTCCAAGAAATTGCATAGGACAATCTTTTGCCCTGATGGAAGCCAAGATTATATTAGCCATGTTAATATCAAAATTCTCCTTCACTATTTCAGATAATTACCGCCATGCCCCTGTTATTGTTCTTACAATAAAACCTAAGTATGGTGTTCAAATCTGCTTGAAGTCCTTGAATCCATTAAACATTTCGGTTTGATATAAAATACTGATACTTTTCTTCTGCTTTTGATACATGAGATTTCAAGAGAAGTAATGTAAATTCTTTCTACTATTAATATAATAAATAAGTTTGCGTGATGATCAAGATTATATTCTGAAAGCTTCTTGTTCATATCTCTCATCAAAAGGGTAATCCGATAATTACTACTCCGGACTACATTAAATGACAAAGTGAAATATCTGTTTTTGTTATTTGGTTAGATTTTACGTCTACTACAAGATGTAAGACATATGACTACATTCTTAACTGTACAATAGTTCAAGTGAATTTTTTCATGTCCCTTTGCTTTCAAGTTATACGGTGAATTTTATTTTATCCAACAAGAGGATTATCGAGTGAAAATACATTGGGTACTCAATAATTGTTGTTTCCCAATGTAGTAGCTACTTGCGCAGCAGATATGGTGAAATGTCAAGAACTTTGCTTCCTTCTTTGGCTCGAAGAGCACCTTTTTGTTCCCAAAGGTTGTCGAAAAGCACTTGATCTACTTGTCTCTTTTTCAACTTGAGCAAGCGATAACGTCATTTTTATGAAGTGAAAGCAATTATGTTTAGCATAAATATTAAATAATTAAATCACATAACTTATTCTACTGATACAGTTGTTTTGAATTTTTACTTCTTCCGTGTGCATGGACTTTTGTTGTTATTCATTTGGGTTTTGTTAATTTTTTGTTCTTTTTTAAGAATTAGTAGTAAGTACATGCTTTGCACGTCTTATGTATCGGGTGAATTATATACGTACTTTTTTTTTCAAGTGTGTATATAATGTGAAAATATTGAATAAAATGAAATATAATCTTTTAATTACAAGAACACTTCTTCGAATACAATATTTTTTATCAACATCTTACGACTTTTCATTCTTTTATTTGTAATTCACATAAACACAAATATGTAAATTGTATAAAAATATTCGTACATATACAAATTATTGACATTATCGTTTCAATACTATATATATAATGTTAACATTTGAAGCATTTCTATTTTATATCATGGGCATAAATTTTAGAATTTGTT